TGCTGTGGGAGAAGAAAAAGGGCGTGGAGAGATTAGCCCAGACAGATGCTGTCTGGAAAAACTGGTGGGGTTAGTAACTAGAGAGTTGTATGCATGAAATTATACTAAATCAAGTGTTACTAACTCTGAGATAGCCTATAATATAAGAGGATCACAAGAAACTTCAAGGTCACTTATTCCTACCATTGGAGGGAGCTTTGTTAAACCAATTACTCCAAACAATGTACTTATCATTAGGAGACTATTTCAAAACATCTGAAGTTCAACTGTTCTAATTTTTAACTGAATTCAACATTTTTTCCTTCGTTCAGGTCCATTATTTCTGCTTTTCCTTTAGTGATCATAATCTATGATATAAGAATATTCTATCATTTCTCTTCTTAAATATCTTGTATTTTAGATGTACTTAGAATATTGACTGACCTCCATCAAAAGGATATATGCTTTTTGCTGATCTGAATGGATTTGTCCATCCACACACCCTTATCTCATCCTCTTTATGAGCAGTAGTATAAATTTCCAGTAGTGTTATCCAGATTTGGGGAATGGCAGGTGGCCAGGAAATGTAGTAAAATAATTGGTTCAAAAGTGCCTGGAATCTATGACGTTGGTTGACTAAATAAACATGATTCTCTAACCAACAAAGCAAGCCCGCATAAAAGAAAAATTTTAATGTCATTGGAAATATGGATATGCACACACAAATGAAAGTTTAGAAGGATATACTCTAAAATGCTAATAGTGATTATTGAGTGGTAGGTTTACTGATGATACTTTTTTTCTTTGAATTTTTCTTAAAAATATTACTTTGGTGATTTAAATATTTTTAAAAGAACATACAGATAATAGAAATACAAAATGGATAAATTATTAACTACAAAGTGGAATACTATGCAGCTGTCAAAAACAATGATGTAGGGGGTTTCCCTGGTGGCGCAGTGGTTGAGAGTTCACCTGCCGATGCAGGGGACACGGGTTTGTGCCCCGGTCCAGGAAGATCCCACATGCCGTGGAGCGGCTGGGCCAATGAGCCATGGCCGCTGAGCCTGCGCGTCCGGAGCCTGTGCTCTGCAACGGGAGAGGCCGCAACAGTGAGAGGCCCGCGTACCGCAAAAAAAAAAAAAAGTGAAATGAGAACAAAGATTCCACTATAAGGAATGCAATAGGTAAAGGAAAACAGAGACACTGAGTCCCTTAAAATAATGTGGGAGCTGTTTCTGTCAGGAATAACGTGTTACATAATTCGAGTTTCATGAATCAGCAGTTTAGTCAGTAATTTACATGATTTTTTTTAAAAGAGAAAAAAAAAAACCAACCCTGAGGATTGGAAAAGGTAAAGTGGTTTCTGAACAAGGCAGGTTTCAAAAGTATTTTATTCCACCCCCACGCAGAAGAAGGCTGACAGGCAGATGACTTGGTCTGGCTTCATTAAGGGTTTCCTACCGTCTAGTATCCCTCATGGGAAGGGCCACTCCATCTCTCATTTTTCTCGATAGCCCTTCCCAATTCCTCCCACTAGGTAATGGCCATATTGACCTCTCTCACTGAAAGTTATCCATCTGGAGGTAACATACTTTAGGATACAGAGTTATATTTGAAGGATAAAAAGTTGAGGGATTTTTTGTTGCTGTTGTTTTTTAAAAGACCCTTTATATTAAAGTAATTGCAATACTTCAAAAAACACAGTAGTGATGTCAGACACTTCAAAACAAATTACAATACCTATGGTCATTGTATGTGAACTTGATCATAAATCTAGGTAGCTGAATCATTTCACTTACGTTGAAAACCTACAGTGATTTGTAGTCCTTAAAAATGACCTTAAATGAGCAGGGAGAGACAAGAAAGCTGTCAACACAAACACGAAATCTATGTGTCCAATCTTAACTCTCTCCAATTCAGAGGAGAAAAGTAGGATGCTTGAGAAAGGAAAAAAAATAACAAACCTATTTGTTTTTTCAAAAACCAGAGATGAGGGACTTCCCTTGTGGCCCAGCGGTTAAGACTCCACGCTCCCAAAGCAGGGGGCCCAGCTTCGATCCCTGGTCAGGGAACTAGATCCCACATGCTGCAACTAGAAGATCCTGCATGCTGCAAGGAAGATCCTGCATACTGCAAATAAGACCCCACGCAGCCAAATAAATTAATTAAAAAAAAAAAAACAGAGATGCTAAATCCCAAGAAATGAGTCTAAAGGGCATTCCATCTCATCCCTTTTGTAGAAAATATGTTGTAGCAGATACTGTTTGAAATAACAGAGAAACATTGGACTAGGCCTGGCAATCTCTTAGGCACAAATCAACTAAGGGGTTTGAGAGGCATAATGTTTTGAAATAGCAAGAAATCTGAAGTCATTGGGAATCATTTATTCCACAAATGTTTATTACAGGCTGGCATGTGCCGGACATTGTCCACACACCTGCTCTCCATTCAAGCTCTGCCTCTTACCAGCTGTGCCACCCTGGATAAAGCATTTTAATATTTCTATGCCTCAGTTTCCTCATCTGTAAAAAAAGGAATAAAAAATGGCTACCAACCTCACAAGGACCCTCTGAAGAGCAAATAAGTATACCTGGAAGGACTTTGTAAACCATGAAAGTGTTAGTTGTCATTTGGCTGAATTGAATTCATGAATGCCTGTGTGCCATAAATTATATCAGAGGAAAGTGAGCCTTCCTGCTTCTGGGAGACACTTCATAATCTTATTAAATAAGGCTTAGAGTGTCATTTAATCATCTCCCTGGAAATTTAAATATATGAAACAGAGAGAGAAAGCTAGTATGACGTGCAGATTTTGACGTTAGATTCATAATCACCATAATGACAAGAACCGTGTTTGTTTTATTCACCATTTTGGGTCTCAATCTGGCCATCAGGCCAAGGCACTCATTTGAAGAGGACACTTAATCCTGGAAAATATGCTCTCTACATATCTGCAAATCACAAAATGGTTACCTAGAAGGTTGATCCATCAACTCAGTGTTACCTGCAGCAAATGGCAGTAAAATTACAAAGCATTATTTGTTACATTGATGTGTTCAAACAAAAATGTTCTATTTTATGGTACATTTCAAGTTCAGTCTGACCCTAAAATATAAGCTACAGTCAAATAAATTGTCAATCATATCGGGAAGGAAACAAAATTAGCCTCAGTGCAGTGGCACTTGAAGAAAGGGGGAAGTTCTGGTCTCTCCAGAGTTAGCTAAGGATGGGCACTATGGCAGATGAGAAAGACCATGTTACGGAAGATGCTAGGCATGTGGCCAGAGATCTGCAAGGAAGAGGTCTCACTCCCGTGGCTCCAGACTCCCTTCCCCCAGGGAGTGGAGGGGTGGTGGCTTGCTTACAGGACTGGAAACAGAGAGCCAGAAGGCACACCCAGTCCTAAAATATGCCTGAAACTTCCTCTAATGTTTCTAGCTCTTGCAATGACATTCAGGGAACTGAAGCATGCATAGCCTCTTCGTTGTTAGAACTGCTATAATTTAACATTTTGAGTTAATATTTATAAAGCATTTAGAAAGAGCCTAACACATGTAAGAGCTATCTAAGTGTTTGATAAATAAATAAAGCACTTCCCAGATTGGCCAGGTGAATTATTAACCTAGTGACAAAGTAGAGAATCAAAATACACAACGATCTACTATTTTTTTTACCTTGATAAAGCTTTGGAAACTGTCGTGCTCTGTATTTATTCCTGCACCTCAAGTGTACCCTACAGAGTCTTGTGCAGAACTGAAATTCTAATCATGGTTCAGAGATCACTGCAAAATTAAATAATGAAAGAGTTTAAGTCTCAAGAGATGAATTCTCTTTTCCATCTTTCCAAGTAACCACCACTGAAAAGGACAGAATCTAAAAATCTCAAAGCATTTCTAGATGGCACATACCAATGCTAAGGTGGGAATCTATAGAGCCAGATGCACTTTAAAAGGCATAGAAGGGGTTCAAATCACAGGGAACGTAAAGGGCAGCCACGCACGGAAGTCGCAGACTACAGGTCCGCTGACAACAGGTTAATGATTTCCATGCCCTCCGCTCCGAGGCCTCCTCCATCCTGGTTGCTCACAGATGACCCGCATCCACTCTTGACCTCAGGTTGTGGCGTGGGTGGGATCTCCCACCCCCCCGGTTCCCGGCTCCTCTACGCTCCGAAACCGCTCACGGGTTAACAAAACCCGCCCCCCGCGCCAAGACACCACTCGGGCGTTTAGGAATAGGAAGGCAGAATCTGAGTTCACCTCGAGGAAACAAAGACCACAAAACTCTCAGAGCCGAAGGCTGGGCCGGGGGTATGGTTCTTCCCCTCCGACCAACTCGGAGGTTTCCAGGCTGAGGGAGGGGGCGCTGCCAGGGGACCCGGGAAAGTCACGTTATCTCTGGGAAGAGGCAGCAGGCGAGGCCCGGGCTCCCCTCGCCCCGCACCGTCTCACCTGCCCGAGGGGCCTGACTGCGGCCCGGAAGCGCGCGGACCCTGCCGCCCGCCCACCCGCCTCGGGTCCCGGCGGCTCCGCACTTACCCGGCTCCGTGGTGCTGCCTCCCCGCGCGGCGGGCGCGGAGCCGAGCGCACTCGCGCTTCCTCCTTCCCGGCAGGGCCGCCGGGCGCTGGCGCTTCCTCCCTGACGCGTCACGGCGGCCGGCTCCTCCCGCAGGGTGCGCGGGGCCGCCGGGGAGAGTTGGCCGTCCGGCCGTGCTCCGGGTTAGGCGCCGGCTCCCGGCTGCGGGGCGGCTGGCACCGGGAAGGAGCCGCAGGCTGAGCTGTGCCCCCGCCGCGGAGACCCGCTGTCCTCCCGCTTCCCCGAGAACCTGCGCGAGAGCCCCGGCGCAGCGCGAGGTCCGGCCCCTCGCCGTGGGCGCAAAGTTCATAGGACCCCGCGGGATCCCGCCTAGAGGCTCATACTCTTCGTTTGTTTCCCGCTGCTCAGCTTATAGTGACCAATGCCCAGGGGCCCAAGAACGGCGTGGGCCCTAGCGCCCGGGCTCGGCGGGGGAACTTGAACCTGGCGCGAAGGGAGCAGGACCGCCGGACGCCCGGAGAGACGAGAGCCACCCGGGAGTGGCCTGGAGGGCATGTGATGGGGTGTAAACTGGACACTCAGAGAGGTGAATAAGTATCCAGATAATTCAGGGGAACAGCTATGCTTCATTTAGCATTCTCTGAACAGTTTTCTACTTTTTCATCAGCAGAGTTTTGGCCTTTGTTAGACAGGAGAGCGCTTTCACAGATTGGCAGATCCTTTATACAGAGAAACTTCCTTTCCACACCTCTTTTTGGATCCTCTGTGTGTGTGTGTGTCTGTGTGCGTGTGTCTGTGTGTATATTGGCATTCCATTAATCTCCAAGTCAGCTGAGGGCACACTGTACAGCTTCTTATTACTCTGGCTATTTAAATACAGAAGTTGCATTTTAGAGCCATATGAATCTTTTTTTTTCCAGACAGGGTGAAGAGAGGTACAGAATGTGTGCGTGATTAAATGGGTGTGGAGTGAAGTGGTCAAGAGTTTGAAGTAGAGTGCTTTTTGGTTTTGCCCCACAACCAGTTAGGTTTTATCAGATGTCACTTGAAGATAGACTCAAACAACTATTTAAAGAATCCCACGTGCATATCGTATTTCAGATTTTGAGTCAGTGACCTATACTTTAGCTCATATGATTGTAGAGAACTTGCCACAAATCTATGAACAAACGAACTAATAAAGGTAATTAGAAGAACTGATTTATGTGTGGCTTCCCTAAATTCAGGGGACATTTCCTTGTATTTAAAATATTCAAAAATTTAGTCTCACAGAAAAGGTAAGAATATTCATTTCTGATGTCAATTAACATTGTATGGCCTTCTCCTTAAAGAAAATGGTTTGTGAATCAAATACTTTTATAGTTCAAAACATAATAATCCTACAAAACTTTCTAAACAGTGATATTCAGTGGCATACAGAAATGGATATAAAATACAGTGGATTCTAAAATCCAGTAGATACTAATCAACACATTGCCAGTGGTCCTTTATATGTTTTTACCGTGATCCATACAAAGCAATCTGCACAATAAAGCACAGAGAAGCTAGAGAAGTTCCTCTCTTGAAACAAAATCAATAAGTGATCAGTGATATCTCTTAACTAAAGCCATAGTCACAGTGTTGAAAAATTTCTCAGACAAAAGGAACTTTTGTGACAATGAACTCCAAGTGGAATCATATCATTCTCACTTCAGAGACAAATACCTGGCTATCACCACTTTTCAACTTCTTTTTTCTTTTGTTTGAAAAACAAACATCTGGGAACCATTATATTTCCAAGATAAATTTGTCCTCCTGCCGTGAAGAACACACACACACACACACACACACACACACACACACACACAGACACACACACACACACACACACACACCCTCCAACTCCCACAAATGCTTCCAGACAAAAGTTGGTGGGTGACGTTCAACTGATAAAACGTTGGGTATTTTGCCTTTATAATCTGAGAGCTGCAATTTAATAGCTTGATTTCTCAGAACACTAGAGGTCATAAATATATTCACAAACTATTGAAGGGTTTTTTCACTTAAAATTAAAGGACACACTTAAAGGCTGATCATTTTGATCAATCATATTCACCTATAGATAAAGATCATATCTCCTTTTTCCTTTATGTTTCCAATTTCTTTTAAGTTTACACTGTAAAAGTTGTTGAATGTTCAGCAATATCTAGTTGATGTTTATGCCTTTATAAAAGGTTTCATGTAAATTCATGTAAGTACATTTTTTAAATAGAGAAAGTTTTTTGTTAGACTCTGGATTCCAGTATTTTGTTTGAAAATATGATTCAGTTCATGCAGATTGGGCAAATGTTGTGTTCATCTGTTATATCTATAATGTAGACATTATGAGCACAAGCTTTGGAATCGGACAGACCCAAATTTAAGTTGTGGCTCTGCCACTTTCTACTTCCGACAAATTATTTCACCTCTGCAAGCAAAGGTTTTGTCAGGAACGTAAGGATGATAACAGTATTTTTTTCTCCTCAGTAAAACCGATAGTAATAGTGCTTATCTCATGAAATTGCTATGAGGATCAAATGAACCTAGTAGAATGACTGGAACATATTATCAGTTGATTGCTATTGTCATCATCGTTATTGTTAGCTCTAACACAGATATAAAAATGCCAGTATTTCATATTTCATTTGCACTACTATAAAGAATGGTCAGTTTTTGGAGTTTTGGGATTTTTGTAGAAGTCCTAAAAGTAACAGGAAAAAATCATAAAAGAAATACTAAGATATAGTTATGTTCATAAGTTTAGATAACTGGACTGTCAATACTGTAAACTATTGACCCAAACATAAAACAAAAACAAAAAACTACCTAACCAAGTTATACAGTATTTCTTTTTAAATAATATGTTATGATGAGATGAGTGCCTGTTTTTTATTTTTAAGTGAGTTCTGGTTTATGATCTTTTTAAAAAATTTATTTATTTTTGGCTGCATTGGGTTTTCGTTGCTGCACACGAGCTTTCTCCAGTTGCGGCGAGCGGGGGCTACTCTTCGTTGCGGTGCACGGGCTTCTCATTGCGGTGGCTTCTCTTGTTGCAGAGCACGGGCTCAAGGCGCGCAGGCTTCGGTAGTTGTAGCACGCGGGCTCAGTATTTGTGGCTTGTGGGCTCTAGAGTGCAAGCTCAATAGTGGCGCACGGGCTTAGTTGCTCCGCGGCATGTGGGATCTTCCCGGGCCAGGGCACGAACCCGTGTCCCTTGCATCAGCAGGCGGACTCTCAACCGCTGCGCCACCAGGGAAGCCCAGGAAAGATGTTTTTGATTCATGTTATTTGCATAGTTTTTATAGCACCTTTTCTTTCATTCTACTACAGACTCACCTACTTCAGTGGGTCAGACATCATGAGTTGTTGCTATAGTTTCCAGCTATGTTTATCCATTGATATACCAACCGTAATATCCCACAACTTCAGAAAAGAGAAAGCCATTTTTATTGGGAAAGTCGTTTAAGGCATAGTCCTAGCCATGAATTGGCTCAGAAAATAATTAACAAGAAAAGCCTGCTGTAAAAATAGGTGAGAATATGAGTTTAAATGACCAATTTATTGAATTTTTTGAGCAAAGCAATTTAATAAAGCAATGCAAAGTATAGTTAGAATAACTCATATCCTCACGGGAACTGAAACAGACCGGTTTATATTGCCTTAGCACAAAGCAGAATTACCCTGTTTCCTTGATCTGGAAAACAGTTCAGAGCATGCTCATTTTGTGTGTTGCCTGTGGGAGTGGCTCAAAGCTCAACATCTTTCTTGGGCCAAGTTAGCCATGTTCAAACTCAAAACTGAAATGCCTAAAGTTCAGGTGTGTTTGTAATAAAAAGAAAACTCCATTTTAAAGCAAGATTATATTAGGGTCAAATATAAGGCTTTTCAAGACTTCCCTGGTGGCGCAATGGTTGAGAGTCCGCCTGCCGATGCAGGGGACACGGGTTTATGCCCCAGTCCAGGAAGATCCCACATGCCGTGGAGCCGCTGGGCCCGTGAGCCATGGCCGCTGAGCCTGCGGCCATGGCTTTTCAGATCACAGAACTTTCTTACTTTCTATATTAGACTCATGAAAAAAACCAATGGGAAGTGTTAGGAGATCAAACCACCTAAACTGCTAGCATCAGCTTTTTGATTAAAAAGCTGCTAGAAATTGCTTTAAATCTTGCTAAGAACATTCCATTATCTGAAGTAAAACTATTATCCTTCCCTGTTAAGGAAATCTCATTATCTTCCGATCTAGTTATTATGAGCATCAAGAACAAAATAAAAATTGCCCCTTTTTTCTTTCTCATTTTCCCTCTTTGTTTTTTTCTCTCTTGTTTGGATAGTCTGTTACATACATAAACTGTGTCTGTTGTTAGTTGACAGTAGCTTATTTACATAAGTCCTGTCAGGAGTTCCTGTGTCCCTCAGAGAATCATATTATTAGGCCTTTGAGCTCAAACCTACTAGGTAGCCTTTGAAGATAATAATTATTTTAGTTAATTATCAGTATAGAATAATAGCTTTCTTAAACACCATTCATTTGGTGACTCAGTTATTTACTGTTAATTATGTGCAATTAATGATTGAACCTGTCTCATATGGCAAAGTCTTAATAGCCTTTGGCTTAAAGAGATGCATGCATTGCTGTTATTTCCTCATCTAGTTCCCTAAGGTATCTGTGTCTGGCTCAACCAGATATGTCAAAGGCTTAAATGGAACTTAAAGGACTATAACTCTTCATATACCAGAACACCCTTAAATTCCCTAGGTTTTCTAGAATAAACAGCTTCAGTTCTTTTAACTTTTTCTACACCTCTTTTTCTCTCTTTTTTTAATGTTTTACAACTCTCGTACAACTTCTTTCCAAATTCTCCACATTCTTTTTTAGATGAGATGCCCATTATGAGACATGGAATCTTCTTTGAAACGATTGGGTAAGTCCTTAGTATAGTGAGAGCATTCTCTCAGCCCTTCAATTCACACTCCTATAATGCAACTTAGAATTATTCTTACATTTAGAATTATATTTCATCATTAGACTTTAAAATCGGAACTCTAGATGCTTGTTTAGCATACTTACACTTCTCAAACTATATTTAAGAGGTTATTTTGATTATCCTATTGAACTCCTCTGCACCTGTTTTACCAAAACTATTTTTCCTGGATATTTTTAATTTCATCACATTTGTTAAGACAAGACATCCAAAGTGGAGGGTACAAATCCTAGGAGTACTCAAGACAATTTACTACAGTTGAGAAAGAGGATATCCCAGTGTGTAACAGATCTTCCTCAACTTACGATGGGGTTACATCCCCAATAAATCTATGATAAGTCGAAAATATTCTAAAATGCATTTAATACACCCTACCTACTAGACGTCATAGCTTAGCCAAGCCTAGCTTAAACCTGTTCAGAATCCTTACATTAGCCTACCGTTGGGTAAAATCCTCTAACACAAAGTCCACTTTATAATAAAGTGTTGGATATCTCATGTAATTCATTGAATACTGTACCGAAAGTGAAAAATGGAATAGTTTTCTGGGTCCAGAATGGTTGGAAGCGTATGGGTTGTTTACCCTCCCGATTGCCTGGCTGACCAGGAGCTGCTGCTATCCAGCATCACGAGAGAGGATCATAGCAGCATATCCCTAGCCCAGGAAAAGATAAAAAGTCAAAATCTGGAGTTCGGTTTCTACTGAATTCATATTGCTTTCACACCATCGTGAAGTTGAAAAATCGTAAGGTGAACCATTGTAAGTCACGGACCGTCTCTATTTGTTTTACCTAAAAAGGAAGAAATTAAGCTGTATTATTCAACATATGCACTGCCACTGGCATGCTCATACAGTCCTTTGTCAGTCATTCGTATGCTCTGCGAGGTATCCTGAGAAGGGTGCGCTTCCACTTGAAGGGAAACCTTCATTCATCCATCATCAGTGTGATGCAGTTTTGTGTGGTATAGGAAGTCATTGATGTGATTAATTTTGTAAAAACTAATCCTTTCAATAGAATCTATATAATATTTTGTATTGAGATGGGGAGTCATTGTGGAAACTCTTTATCTTCTATCATAGTATTCAAGATGCTTGGGCTTAAAAGCATTTGGAAAAATGTAATTTTGTTGCAAAAAACAGTGCATGTGTCCTATTAAAACTAATATATGCACGCTTAAAAATTTTGGAAACAATTTTTTATTTGTTTAAATATTTTCCAAATAATGGATTTCAGTGGGTCTTAAATTCATCTGTTGAAAAGATAAAATTCTTTTAAGTCACAGGCAGACCTCTGAGATACTGCAGGTTCGGTTCCAGACCACTGCAATGAAGCAAATATTGCATAAGGTGAGTCACAAATTTTTTGGTTTCCCAGTGCATATAAAAGTTATGTTTACACTCTACTGCAGTATATTAAGTGTGCAATAGCATTATATCTAAAAAAAGTACATACCTTAATTTAAAAAAGACTTTATTTCTAAAATATGCTAGCCATCATCTGAACTTTCAGTGAGCCATAATCTTTTTGCAATAGGAACATCAAAGATCACTGATCACAGAGCACCATAACAAGAACAAGTTTGAAATATTGCAAGAATTACCAAAATGTGACACAGAGCCACGAAGTAAGCAAATGCTATTGGAAAAATGGTGCCAATAGACAGGCTCAACACAGGGTTGCCACAAACCTTCAAGCTGTAAAAAGTGCCGTATCTGCAAAGTGCAATAAAGTGAAGCACAATAAAATGAGGTATGCCTGTAGTTTGCAAGAATTGCTGATTGATAGCAAGCAAAATGGAAATTTACTAGTCAAACTTCAATATAAACCTTTGTAGAACTGGTTGATGAGATCGAAAAAAGAAAATGAGTACTTTAATAGATACAGTCAACAACAATGCATTTCTTCCATTTAAATCTAAATATCTTGTTGAAATATCTTTTCCAGTTATGATAGCTATTAAAATGTAGTATTAGAATAATCTAACTTTAGGACCAGATCTGCAAATCACGATATCAAGAAGAGTTAAGCCAAGAATTTTAAAAAGGAATAACATACCAAGTAACAAAACATCAAGTGAAAGCAAAACGCTCTTATACTATTAATCAAATACCATTAAATTGTTTAAATATATTGATTATTTCATATTTTTAAATTTGGGGTTTATATTGTACTATGTGTACAATCTATTGCTATAGGTCACAATTACATAATTTGTACAGGGGTGTGCATGCAGAAACATTCTTAAAGATGGGGTGCATTTTCAAAAAGCAAGTTGTTGGTTACCTTTCGCCATTCCTACTCCTTCGTTTGGTGTCATCTAAGAATTTAATGCCTTTTGTTCTCTTCATTCTTCATTCAATAACTATTTGTTTAGTGCCTAGTGTGTGCCAGGTACTGTGCTAGGTTCAGGGAGGTAGAAATTAAAAATATAATCCCCACCCAGATCAGTAGTTTAAATCATTTATGAAACATATAAAAGGACCTATTCCCACGACTAAACTCCACACTGTCACCTGCTTCTCAACTCCTTCCCCCATCTCCAAACCTGGCCTTTACATATGTAATGATCCACTGTGGATGGGGACTTGAATCTGAAACTTGTCATTTGAACACCTACTTAATTTTTATGTAGTTTAAGTAAACCATTTATGACTTATTTTCTCTTCTAGATATCTGCAAGGTGCTTTTAAGGCAATCTTATGTAAATATAAATATTACTAATTCAACAAACACTTCCTCTGCAAAGCCCTGTGTTAAGACAGAGGGAAGTTTTTTTGTTGTTTTTTTAACATCTTTATTGCAGTATAATTCCTTTACAATGGTGTGTTAGTTTCTGCTTTATAACAAAGTGAATCAGTTATACGTATGTTCCCATATCTCTTCCCTCTTGCGTCTCCCTCCCTCCCACTCTCCCTATCCCACCTCTCTAGGTGGTCACAAAGCACCGAGCTGATCTCCCTGTGCTATGCGGCTGCTTCCCACTAGCTATCTATTTTACGTTTGGTAGTGTATATATATCCATGCCACTCTCTCACTTTATCACAGCTTACCCTTCCCCTCCCCATATCCTCAAGTCCATTCTCTAGTAGGTCTGTGTTTTTATTCCCGTTTTACCCCTAGGTTCTTCATGACCTTTTTTTTTTTTCTTAGATTCCATATATATGTGTTAGCATACGGTATTTGTTTTTCTCTTTCTGACTTACTTCACTCTGTATGACAGACTCTAGGTCCATCCATCTCACTACAAATATCTCAATTTCGTTTCTTTTTATGGCTGAGTAATATTCCACTGTATGTATGTGCCACATCTTCTTTACCCATTCATCTGATGATGGACACTTAGGTTGCTTCCATGTCCTGGCTATTGTAAATAGAGCTGCAATGAACATTTTGGTACATGACTCTTTTTGAATTATGGTTTTCTCAGGTATGGTTTTCTCAGTAGTGGGATTGCTGGGTTGTATGGTAGTTCTATTTTTAGTTTTTTAAGGAACCTCCATACTGTTCTCCATAGTGGCTGTATCAATTTACATTTCCACCAACAGTGCAAGGCTACAGTAATCAAGACAGTATGGTACTGGCACAAAAACAGAAATATAGATCAATGGAACAGGATAGAAAGCCCAGAGATAAACCCACGCACATATGGTCACCTTATCTTTGATAAAGGAGGCAAGAATATACAATGGAGAAAAGACAGCCTCTTCAATAAGTGGGGCTGGGAAAACTGGACAGGTACATGTAAAAGTATGAAATTAGAACACTCCCTAACACCATACACAAAAATAAACTCAGAATGGATTAAAGACCTAAATGTAAGGCCAGACACTATCAAACTCTTAGAGGAAAACATAGGCAGAACACTCTATGACATAAATCACTGCAAGATCCTTTTTGATCCACCTCCTAGAGAAATGGAAATAAAAACGAAAATAAACAATGGGACCTAATGAAACTTAAAAGCTTTTGCACAGCAAAGGAAACCATAAACAAGACCAAAAGACAACCCTCAGAATGGGAGAAAATATTTGCAAATGAAGCAACTGACAAAGGATTAATCTCCAAGATTTACAAGCAGCTCAGGCAGTTCAATAACAAAAAAAAACCCAACCCAATCCAAAAATAGGCAGAAGACCTAAACAGACATTTCTCCAAAGAAGATATACAGATTGCCAACAAACACACGAAAGAATGCTCAACATCATTAATCATTAGAGAAATGCAAATCAAAACTACAATGAGATATCATCTCACACTGGTCAGAATGGCCATCATCAAAAAATGTAGAAACAATAAATGCTGGAGAGGGTGTGCAGAGGGAAGTTTCAAGGTACAAAGATGAACTGTACTTTCAAGGGGGATTTTATATCCTTGATATAACATATGAAAAATGAGAAAAACACCTTAATTTTTTCTTTATGCAACGTAGATTGCCTTCACTATTGACTGTATCCCTCAGTATACTGCAATTTTTAAATATAAATTTATTTATTTATTTTTGGCTGTGTTGGGTCTTCATTGCTGCGCCTGGGCGCAGGCTTCAGTAGTTGTGGTTCGCAGGCTCTAGAGTGCAGGCTTAATAGTTGTGGCACATGGGCTTAGTTGCTCCACGGCATGTGGGATCTCCCTGGACCAGGGCTCGAACCCGTGTCCCCTGCATTGGCAGGTGGATTCTTAACCACTGCACCACCAGGGAAGCCCCCAGTACACTGCATTTTTAATTATCTTACCACTTTTGCCTTGTGTTGTTTCTTCAAGCCTAGTACCATCTGTTTGGAAGTTTTACAGGCATGGTATTTGACTTCAACCACGTCTTTCAAATTGCATCTCGTTACTTGTAATTTTAACCCATGATTGGGGTAAATTATTTTTAATTGCTACTTATTTGCATTGGAGAACAATCATATGAAAAACAGGTAGAGGAAAATACTTCTGGAAACTAGATCATAGAATGATCCTATATGCTTAAAATGGAATCCTATACATTTCCCTAAATAGCAAGAAAATGTGGTGATTTGAGGTATTCAAGGCAAGAAACTGGATCACGTGATTTCCTGAGGTCCCGTTTATTTTTAAACTCTGCAAATAAACAAAGCCCAAAGCTCACAGCCTTTGGAGGACCTTATACCCGTTTGGCTTTTTAAAAAGCAAGCAGTATTAACAGTCCAGAAACTTTGGGCATGGTATAAAAAGTCAAAATTAGTTACAAAAGTCTGTGGTAATATAAAATTCCATTTAGAAAATGGTAAGCAGCACATAGAGGCAATAAAGAGACGGTATCTTTATTGGACTTTTAACTGTTATTTACTGACTATTAACTGGCTATCCCTCCAACAGAAAAACCCAATTTTCACTATCATAAACATTTTCTTAGAAAGTAGAAAGAAAAATACAATTTGAACAAATTTCAGTACAGTGTAGTGATTAAGGACATGGCTTTAGAGGAAAACAGTCCTGGGTTTGAATCTCACTCTGCTGTTTACCAGCTCTGGACCCAAGCACATCGCCTAACTCCCTAGCTTCAGTTTTTTTCATTCAGGAAAGTAGTTCCTACTTCATAAAGTTGTTACGATTAAGTGAGATAATCACACAGTAATAACACAATACATGGTAAAATTTAAAATTATATATATATACAGTTGACCCTTGAAAAACAAGGGGGTTAGGGGTGCTGACCCCCTACCCCAACCCCAGCTGAAAATACGTGGCTAACTTTTAGGGAGCCCTTCGTATCAACAGTTCTGCATCCATGGATTCAGCCAACTAGAGATGGTGCAGTACTGTAGTACATACTTACTGACAAAAATGTGCATATAAGTGGAGGGAGACTGTCTTTTCTCCGTTGTATATCCTTGCCTCCTTTGTCATAGATTCGTTGACTGTAGGTGCGTGGTCACCTTATCTTTGATAAAGGAGGCAAGAATATACTGTGGAGATAAGACAGCCTCTTCAATAAGTGGTGCTTGGAAAACTGGACAGCTACAAGTAAAAGAATGAAATTAGAACACTTCTTAACACCATACACAAAAATAAACTCAAAATGGATTAAAGACCTAAATATAAGGCCAGACACTATCAAACTCTTAGAGGAAAACATAGGCAGAACACTCTATGACATAAATCACAGCAAGATCTTTTTTGACCCACATCCTAGAGAAATGGAAATTAAAAAAAAATAAACAAATGGGACCTAATGAAACTTAAAAGCTCTTGCACAGCAAAGGAAACCATAAGACAAAAAGACAACCCTTAGAATCAGAGAAAATATTTTCAAACGAAGCAACTGACAATGGATTAATCTCCAAAATATACAAGCAGCTCATGCAGCTCAATATCAAGAAAACAAACAACCCAATCCAAAAATGGGCAGAAGACCTAAATAGACATTTCTCCAAAGAAGATATACAGATTGCCAACACACACATGAAAGGATGCTTAATATCACTAATCATTAGAAAAATGCAAATCAAAAGTACAATGAGGTATCACCTCACACCGGTCAGAATGGCCATCATCAAACAATCTACAAACAATAAATGCTGGAGAGGGTGTGGAGAAAAGGGAACCCTCTTGCACTGTTGGTGTGAATGTAAACTGATACAGCCACTATGGAGAACAGTATGGAGGTTCATTAAAAAATTAAAAATAGAACTACCATATGACCCAGCAATCCCACTACTGGGCATATACCCTGAGAAAACCATAACTTAAAAAGACACATGCACCCCAGTGTTCATTGCAGCATTATTTACAATAGCCAGGACGTGGAAGCAACCTAAATGCCCATCGACAGATGAATGGATAAAGATGTGGTATTTCTAAAATAAAAAAAAGTGGAAGAGGGAGGCAATAGAAGAGAGAGAAAGAGATGCAACTGTGGAAGAATGGTCAGAGAGATGCAACACTGCTGGCTTTAAAGGTGCAGAAAGGGGCAACTGACAATCAGTCTTAGTGAGAGGCAAGCAGGGCATGACCTGCCCTGCTTAAAAACAGTTAATAAACAGTTGCCTGTTTATTAACCAGGGGTCGAACCCATGTCCCCTGCATTGGCAGGCAGATTCCCAACCACTGCACCACCAGGGAAGTCCCAAAACAGGAATTTTTAATAGTGCCTACCTCATGGCTTAAATGAGTTTATATTCACAAACTCTTAGAAGGATACCTGCCTGGTTACATAAGTATTTGTCAAATAAAATGAAGGATATGTACATGGGTCTCTTGTGTGAATGCTGGTCTCACAATTCTGTACACAGTTCTGATGAGGCTGTCCTGTTCAGTCAAACTGTCATGCTGGAAGAAGACACGAGACAGCTGAGTGAGAGAAAAAGAACTTTATTATTCACAGCACATCAAAAAAAGAATGAGCATCAGAATGTCTGCATCAATTCCCCTTGTCTCCAAGTTCCACACGGGTGACATGGAGGGGCCCAGAGAGATGCCACATGTGCAGTGGGTTTGTGTTGCAGCTGGGGAACAATAAACTTGGGGAACCCACTGCTTTTCTAGCAAGCAGCAAGCTAAGCTTGTCCTTTGTCCCAGAAGGAGATGTTACTTCATCCCTCAAGACTGCCCACTGCAAACCCAACCACGAGAAATGGCTTGCGTACAGTGGTGTGGTAGAGAGCCTCCAAGACAGCCTATAACGGTCCCCAGTATTCCCAATACTTGCCTCCCAATATTCACTCTTTTGTGTGACACCCCTCCCTCCAGTTGATTGTGGGCTGGACTTACTGACTCACTTCTAACTAACTGAATACAGCACAAGAAATGGGATGTTGCTTTTGAGATGAGATTATAAAAAGACTGGCTTCTGTCTTGGGCACCATCTTATGTTCTCTCACTGACTCACTCTCTGGGAAGACAGCTGTCATGTTGTGAGATGCCTTATAGAGATAACTGCATGGCAAGGAAAAGAAGATGTCTTTGGCCAGCAGCCAGGTGAGTGAGCTTGGAGGCAGAACCTCCTCCATTCAAGCCTGGAAATGACTGCAGCTTTGGCCAGCACCTTGACTATAGCCTTGTCAGAGGCAAGGCTGCAACCCTGCGCCAGAGGCACCCAGCTAAGCCGTGCCCAGATTCCTCATCCACAGAAACTGTCAGAAAATAAGTGATTGTTGTCTTAAGCCTCTATGATTTAGAGTAATCTGCTATGGAGTAACAGATAAGTAACACAAGCAGTCAGGGCCTTGCATTCAGGCCATCCCGAGCAAGACATGCAGGCACGTGAGAGATAACCATCTCCCAACAACAGCCCAGGGGTCAGCAATGCTATCTTCCCTGAAAAGGGCTGGCATGCTTAGTGTCTGGCATGTAGGAAAGAGGCAGATTCTGAGACTGGAAACTAGAATTTGGAAGGAAGCCCATAGCTGGAACTAGCCTTACCAACCTTGGAGCTATTTTTGAGATTTTTTGCTTGCTTGAGGACATGATGCAGGGTAGAGAAAACTGGCTTCTGGTTTGTACGTGTAGTGGGAAGCAAGGTAGGGAGGAATCCTTTTACCGTGTCAAATACTGAAACGCCTGCACTGCATTCAATGAACCAAATTATCCAGTTGTATATTACTCCCTGTACTCAGTTGTCTTTTGTTCTTCTGAAGCCCTTTGTAAACTTTTGTTTAAATTTTTTCCCTGGTCTAATCCCTACTCCATCGAATTGAGAGTCAAATGCTTGAGCCACTATGTTAAAGGTGAAATAGTGCCCCCTGGAGGCCAGAGTGGCAATGCTCAGAGACCCCAAGAGGCAGGAGAAGCTAGGACAGGCGAGGGAGATGGCAAAGTTCTTGAAAAAATGCTAGGAGAATATGTGATACTATTTCAAATCTCCTTGATCTAAAGCCTTTAAGAAATTGGCATGAAAATTTTATAACTATGTGTGGTGACTGATGTTAACTAGACTTATTGTGGTGCTCATTTTATAATACATGAATTATAACATTATACATCAATTAAAAAATTCATTCTCAATAACTAAAAAACATTATTTTTAAGAGAAAGAAATTGGTATGGAAGGTTTTTTATTCTTGACTTGATAAAGAGCTTTTCTTTTTTCTTTCTTCTTCTTTTTTTTTTTTTTGGCAAAGAGAGTCAACTTTATATGTAATGAAGGGCCAGACAATAGTCATTAAGAACATGGTTTTGAAATATGACAGGCCTTCCTTTTGTTAGCTGTATGTCCTTGGGCAAGTTGATAAATCTGAGCCTATTTCTTCATCTGTAAAGGATAATATCTTATTACATTATAGTGAGGATTAACTGAGATTGTGTATATAACATCCTTAGAACTTGGTAAACAGTATTTGAAAGCTGCTATTATTATTAACTATTACTACTACTAGTAGTACTACTACTACTATTCAGTACATTAATGAGATGATGTGTCCCATGTAACCACACTTAATATACTATTCTACATGCTGGTAATAGAATTTTCAGATAAGAAGTATTTACAGGAGACATAAATCAGAATAGAGGAAAGGAAGACTCACTGGGAAAGAAAACCCAAGGACCTTTGTAAAGGTACAGGGGAAAATATAATCTTTAAAAACTTTCTATCCAATACATATAGAGAGTTGTTACAAATATATAATTAACATCTGTTGGATAAGTAGTCAAGGAGATGAAAAAGCAGTTTAACAAGTATGTTATTAAATGGCTTATTTATTAGTTAATAAATGCAAAATAAAACAACTTTCAGGTCTCATATACCTTTTAAAGTTTCAAATGTAAATGAAAATGGAAAGAACGGATATTGGAGAAGACACAGGGAGAAGGCACTGACCATGGAACACAACACACCTGACTTCGCCTCCTACCAGCTGTGAGCCCACATATGTCACCCTCCTTCTCTGTGCCCTATTTCCTTATCTGTACAGACTGATAGTAACAGCATCTTATAGACTTGTCATGAGGATTAAATGAGAAATGACACAGAAAGCCCAAAGCAAAATACCCAGCTCTCAACAAAGAGTCTCATCATCCTTGTTGCCATTACCTTCATCACTGCTACTGATGTGCTGATGTTGTTACAGGTAGAATTGGAAAGGTAGGAGAGCCCTTCAGGAGATTCCTCAGAGCACTATGCAGTAAGAGCTATAAAGTCACATATCCCTTTAATCTGTTTTTCCCATTTGCGGGAAGAAATTTAGAGGGAAAAATTACCTGATTAAAGATGTTTATAGCTAACTGTGACCATCAAAATTAGGAACAACCTAATGCCCAGAAATGAAGGAGAGGTTAAATAAACAAAGTATATTAATAAAAGTATTAGATACAAGAGGAATATATATAAATCATAGTTTTACTGTGTATCAGCAAGAACCAGATCGAAAATGTAATGGAAAAATATCCCAGGGCTTCCCTGGTGGCGCAGTGGTTAAGAATCCGCCTGCCAATGTGGAGGACATGGGTTCGAGCCTTGGGAAGGTTCCTGGGAATCTGGGAAGGAGCCTGGGAAGATCCCACATGCCGCGGAGCAACTAAGCCCGTGCGCCACAACTACTGAGCCTGAGCTCTAGAGCCCGCGAGCCACAACTACTGAAGTCCGCGCGCCTAGAGCTCGAGCTCCGCAACAAAGAGCAGCCCCCGCTCAACGCAACTAGAGAAAGCCCGCGCGCAGCAACGAAGACCCAACGCGGCCAAAACTAAATAAGTAAATAAATTTAAAAAAATATCCCATTCATAATAACCACAACTATAAAATACCTAGAAATAAAATTAACAAGAAATGTTCAAAACAGTTTAAAAATACTATAATGTTTTATTGAAGGACGTACAAAGATCTCTGTAAGTGGAGAGTCATATCTGAATAAGAGGCCTCAATATTTTTTAAAGCCAATTCTCCCCATATTGATCTGTAAACTAAATATGATTTTTATCAAATTCCCAATGGAATTTTTTAAATTTAAAAGCTGATTCTCTAGCTTATCTAAAAGAGTAAATGTTTGAAAATAGCCAAGAATATTTTGTAAAACAACTGTAACAAAATAAGACTTGGCCCACAAAACACTGAAAAGAACTATAAAACATGGTAAATAGGATAGTGTGGTACTGATCAGGAAAAGATAACTAGAACAGTGGAGTGGAACCGAGTCCAGAAAATAATAAGTATAATGGGTTTATACTTAGAGGGTTTCATACATGCTCAAGGTGGCATTTCAAGTCAGTAGGAGAAGACTGGATTATTCAATACAAACAGCACAAGGATAACTGGCTATCCATAAATTACTGATGGTTTAAAGATCTAAATGTAAAAAACAAAACAATAAAACTGTAAATATATATATATATATATATATATATATATATATATATATAAAGATATATATAATATCTTTATAAACTTTGGGTAGGAAAGAAATTCCTTGGCCTGAAACAAAACCTAGAAGCCACGATGGACTGATTAAATTACATAAAGATTAAACACTTTAGCAGAGCCCTGCCTTTATGTACATCCTTCTCCCCTAGGAATTCCTAGGAGAGCAATAGCACTGGGTGGCAGAAGAGCGCTGGGAGGGAAGTACAGGGAGCCTGAGAAGGGCACCCAGAATTCTTTTGCTATGCTTTGCTTTGATCCTGGGCATTGCTCCCTTCTCAGAAAAGCACAGTGGATTTTCCGCCTGGAGTTTTGATAGGTTTTTAAAATGTATTCTTAGCTCCTAGTATTTTAATTTTAAATGAAATAAAAATTCATTTATACCCTCCCACAAACACCAACATAACTTCGATATAGCAAAAAAGACCATAAAGTTAAAAGATGAATGACACACTGAGAGAGAATATTTGCAAAATGGGCAACAAAGGGTTATCATTCATAATCTATAAAGAGTTCTTTTAAACAATAAGAAAAAGAAAATAACCAAAAGAAAAATAGGCCAAGGATATGAATAGGCAATTCAGTGAGAAATACAAATTGCCAATAAACAAATAAACATATGTTTAACTTCACTACTCATCAGAGAAATGCAAATCAAGCAAGACGGCTTCTTAACCTACCTGTATACAGGGGGGGACGGGATGGTGTAGTCAGGAGGAAGGCAGGCAGGCAGTATGGGGGTGCACTGTCTGGAGAGAATTTATTTTTTAATTTTTTTGGCCGAGCTGCGAGGCACGGAGGATCTTAGTTCCCCAACCAGGGATGGAACCCGCGCCCTCTGCAGTGGAAGCTCAGATTCTTATCCACTGGACCACCAGGGAAGTCTCTGGGGAGAATTTTTTAAACATAATAAAACGTATCATTATGCTCCAGCAATTCTAAAATATGTCACTGGTAAAATGTCCTTTTTCTGTTCCAGGATCCAATCTCTTATACCACA